TTTTTTCTATTTAGTATTCTCTCTCATTTTTTCTCTTTCTAATAGTTTCTCTTTTCTTGATTTTCTCTCTCTATTGGTTTTTCTCTCATCCATGGGTGATTCTTGATCCACTTGTGCATGCATTTGGACAGCTTATAAATGAAATGGAAAACCCAAAAATGTTTCCATCCAGATTTCTTAATGTATTATTGCATAAGTGATAGATTTATATCATTTAATGTAATAAAAATATTTTTAATTAAATAAAAACTCATTTCATTATATCTTTTTTCCAATTACATGTAAAATCAGTCGTGAAGCAACTGCTTAATCTCGCCTTTCCTAAAGTTGCTGCATCAACTGATATCGACCTCCAGCTGCTTGGATTCACGTTAGAGTTGTGGGTGTAACTTGCTATCAGATGCATGCTTGATTGTGACATGATGAGCGTTGTCTTGCAGAAGAAGAATGCGTTGCTCAGATGATTCAGGGCAAAGAGGGACCAGAATCAACGATCTTCCGGAAGACATCTTGTGCTCTATAGTGTCACAATTACCCCTTCAAGATCGAGTAACAACTAGCTTGGTCTGTCGAGCATGGAGGCGCCTGTGGCTCTCATCATCCAACTGGAGATTGGAGCTTCAAGACTTCCGCGGTGTGAGTAACAAGAAACAGAAGTTCGAGGAGCTCGTCGACAGGGTCATCTTCTTTCCAGACCGACCACACATACATCACCTGAAACTAGTACACACAGATTACAATAGATCAAGTCAGAAAGCAAGTTTATGGATCGAGAGCTTATTGAACCAGCAAATCCTGCATCTGGATCTCAACATAATGGACCCTATACCGCTGCCCTTGTCACTCTTTCGGTGTGATACGTTGGTGGAGTTAAGACTCTGCCTGCACTGTGACATCATCAGCCTTCCACCTAACGCTGTCTTATTGCCTCGACTCAAGGTCTTGTCCCTTCAGAAAGCACGCTTCATCGGTGACTCGTTACAGAGTTTGATTAACGGGTGCACCATTTTAGTCACTCTCAAACTCAGGGAGTGCGTTGTCGTCGGTCCCGAATTCTTGGATATCACCATTCCTCAAACCACGCTCCAAGAAGTGATCCTTGACAAGTGCCACTTCCTACTTGATACTAAGCTGCACATGTCAACTGTGAACCTTACGACCTTCCGTTACAAGGGCTTGAATTTGGGTGATAGCATGCATTATCTGAATGTGCAAACATCAGTCGAAATGGTGCAATTGGAGCCTGTGGAGTTTCACAATGTCTACTCGTACTCACGAAGGCTAGGGTTTTCAGGGACCTATGGGCAGAACATGTCGAGGACCTTGGCTTCATTCTGCAACACAAAACACATGATCCTTAGTGACTGGTGCATCGAGGTGCGCCTACGACTCCCTGTTTCATCTGTCCAAGATCGATCTATATGTGGTAGTGTTTGATTTGAATTAGTTGATCAGTAGAATAACAGCATGCAGGAAGTGTTAATTACCCGTCTAAAATCCAAATATTCTAAATATCACCAGCATGCAGGCAGGCATTCCAAATGAGTCAAACTCTCCCTACTCATTTACGCCCTCATATTGTGTACGCCCTCATATTGTGGCAGGAATAAAGTTGTTCAAGTCACACTTATATAGGCAACATATGTATCGAGCTCATTGTTCTTCGTAAAATAAGCTATTAGGATTAACAGTAGGTATTCTGTTAAGTTAGGGGAAATAATATGGTACTACAATTTTCATTTGACAGTCCCAACTGCAGAAGATTATACAAGCTTTCGACCGAACCATCAGGATGAGTTTCTTACTAATGGATCACTGTTTGAAAGCGATCATATGTTTTAGACTAGACTTCATTTGGATACGGCTTTCTGACATGCACTTACCATTTTCTTCCTTTGTTCAAGTAGTACCTGACGAACGTTCCAAATGCCATGAGGTTTCCCCCCTTTATGCGCTTGGAGTCCCTGCGCCTGAGCATGTGGCCAAACGGCGGCCATGTCTACGTGACCACTTATTTGGTACTATTCTCACCGTTATTACGGTTTCTGTCACTCCGCATATCTAAGGTGAGAGCATCTCGTATATATCTTATATGGTCTTTGTGTTCATGGTTAATCATCCCATCCTCTTCTCAGAGGAAATCTGCTGTGTTTATCAAATTACTTCTCGTAGGCACACAGGGAAGGGATGGCTGATGATGATAGGTTGGATTATCCACACCCCCCGGACTTGCTGTCAACAGAAATGATCCATAATAATCTGAAGAAAGTTGAAATAAAGAAGTATGGAGTTTTGAATGCGGAGCTCGACCTCATAAAGTTCTTGCTTAGGAATGCGGTGAGTCTAGAAAAACTCAGCATAAAATGGTGTGCTCGCATAGGTGCTTCGCGCAGAAAATCTCTGAGAAACACAATAAGGTCGTACCCACTAGCCAGCCAGAATCTCGAGCTGTACATATACTGAATAATTCTCGGATCAATCTGACCTTTCAGCCTTCCAGCAGTCAAATGGCTGGAGTGCTCAGATAAGCGTAAATCGATGTATTTCTTTTGTTTACAGTGAGTGAACTATGAACTTTGTAATATGTGCGTGCTGCACATAATTCCAACTTCGAAGTTATTACACATCTTTTATCCGACTTGAAATTACAATAAGTTACTTCGTAATTTGTAGCAACCTTCTAAAGAAGCTGTTTCTTTGGATATTAATATTTACCTCCGTGAAATATGGTGTTGCATATGCCTAGTATGGATTGATGAACACAGATTTGAATAGCTGTTTGTTACCTCCTCTTGGTTTGCTTTTATGCTCTGATATATCATACACAACTGCAGACAAATAGCTCATGGGAGGGTCAGTTAATAAAACCTAGAACACTACCAAGTGATGCTTTTTTGTTGCCACTCCACATTATGTAGTGATTCGAACCACAGACTTCTATAGATATTGTTGTACCTTGAAAACATCCTCTTAAATACTATTTCTGGTCTCACAAAGTGAACAGATGGAAATTCTCGCATTCTTTTGCTTTCATTGTGTCACAAAGATGGACAAGACGATGGCAAATATTTAACAGCTGTGAAGATGTTGTTTAGACGTGATAGAACATACAGTAGTTTCTAATGTAGGAACCAAGTAGTTTGACACAATCACGGCATCTTAGTCAAACTGGAGTAAGGAGTAGGCCAAGAATATATCCCCGCTTGTTCCCTCGACAAGATATTCACATTGGGAAAAAGTCTATTACTTGATTGTCTAGTCGTATCACTTTAATTGGGAAGAAAGTTAAGTTAATTCTTCATGTTGTGATGAAAAAGCCTGATATATAAGTAACTCGGTTACTTTTTTGTTGAGTTGATGGCAAAATTCTCTAAAATTTTGTACATCACCTTCAAAGTTTCTTAAAACATTGTCGCGACGAAGTTGTCAATGGTTCATCTATAACACTTCGATCACCAATTTCATGAGCTTTTCCTACGTTATTCCACGAAGACGATCAATTCCGGAAGTGCACTTATGCCAATCTAGCCACATCTCTTACAAGCGGTTCTTCTTGTCCTCCATGCGGGCCGAGGTTTGGTTGGTGAAATATGAAGGTGAGAAGATTCATTGGTCATCCTAATTGGAAGGACGTCCATTAGCAGTACGCTCTGTTCTGCTCTTGGTTTGAGCAAGTAATGGCTGCGAGCTGCGAGATTTTCAAGAAAGACAAGTGCTCTTTTGTCGTCCTTAATTTCCAGTAGAGTGCAGAGAATGGACACTTCAGGAATTCGCATCAGAGTTCTTTGTTCTAGTACAAGCTATGGCAAAAGTGTCCAAGTGACAGAAGTTTGGATGATATTGACAAGAAAAGAATAATACCATCCGCGCACACTTTTTCTCATGTGCAATCCATATAAATCCAACTTGAGATCATTTCCCAACGAGCTTAGAACAGTTCAATGGAGATGTCTCTTATGCGCCAGAGTTCTTTCAACAGAGCTTCGCCACCCCAAATGACCAGCATCCCATATGCAAGTCTACCTCGCCAACAGAGACCATTGCCGGCAAGGGTACATCTCCAGCGGTGGCATGGCGGGCAACAACAGGTTATTTTGGGCAGATCGAGGAAGATAGAGAAGCTAGAAATCGGTGGGAGATCCTTCTTAAATGGACCATTCAAAGGAGGTAGAGCCCCTCAAGCTATGGCCTTTGAGAAGCCAGAAATGTTTCCCGAGTTCGAGGTACCGTACCATTCAGTATTTTGTGTGATTACTGTAGGTATTCTTCGATTCATCATCTCAGTTTGTGGCAAGCCAGCTTCAGTGGAATAAAATGAATCCTTTTCCGGGAAGATAAGACAAGACACCAATAAAAAGGATATTTTAAGAAAACATCAATGACAACCACTGCATGTGCATGATTGAGAGTTCCCACCTTTAATAGAAAATAAGATATGTTATTGAAGATCTAAGAAAAAATAATTAATAGGATTCTATCATTTTCTAACATAAATGAATTTTCTTTCTATTGATCCATAATCTTAATTAGAATCAAATTAAAATTTTAATATATCTTATCTTAAGTTAATAGAATCATGTAATCTATAATATATATATATATGTGTATATATATATGTATATATATATATATATATATATATATATATATTTATTTATTTATTTATGGGTAAAGGTATTACTAAGCTGGAGCATGTGAGATTGTGAGGAAACGTGAAAGGAATTATTCTCACATGATTAAAATATTAAATAGTCGAATTATTTATTACCAATTTAAGCTTTTGTGTCTCCTCTGTCCCGTTCTTCCCCGTAAGGATCTGGGAATTTAAACAATAATTTGAAACCCGAGCTAAAGAAGGATCTGAGACTTCTTGTTTGGCGTTGCAGACAGACACATACGCAGACAAGGAAAAGATGCTGGCAAACTACGTGCCAGTGTTTGTGATGCTCCCTGTAAGCTCCTCTTCTCTTGAACGGCTAAGTGCGCTCAAAATGCACCACATCTTGAACCACACCACTTGCACTGACACCATACTATGTATACACTCTTTAATCTGAGCATGTCCGACAGCTGGATGTCGTCTCAGTTGACAACACGCTCAAGAAGCCAGAAGAACTGAGGAAGCGCCTTAAGCATCTGAGGAACGCCGACGTCGATGGGGTGATGGTAGATGTTTGGTGGGGCATCGTGGAAGGCAAGGGTCCCAAGCTCTATGACTGGAGCGCTTACAAGGATTTGTTCCGGATGGTTCAGGAAGAAGGGCTCAAGTTGCAGGCCATCATGTCATTCCATAATTGTGTGGAGGGCACCGTGAATATCCCGATGCCGCCATGGATTCTTGAGGTGGGCAAGTCAAACCCGGATATCTATTACACCAACAGGCGTGGCAC